GATTTGTACATAATTTTTACGAATTTTTAAAAATTCTGTTCGGCAGACCGCAAGAGGCGCGGTCGATCTTCTCAGTCGGGCGCTACTTAGAGCGGCCGTCATAGGCGGCCGGTAGCGTCGTGCTCGGTCGCAATCGCCGTTCGACCGAGCCTCGCCCGGCCGCGATCATCGGCCGGCGACCGGCCAACCGGCCTGAATTTTTTTTAATCTATTTATATAATTACAATTATTAAATAAAAATATTTTTAAAATTTAAATTAAATTATTTAAATGACTTAAAATTAAATTAAATAATTTAGACTTTCAACATAATCTTCATTCTCTCGCATGGGAGCTTAGGTATTCTCTCAGTGAGAGCTTTTACAGTCCGTCACTTTTGTTCGAAATAATCTGCTGATTTGTATGCATTAAGGTTGGAGGGTAGCGAGTGAGGGTTTTGTTATGGGAGACCCATAAAATATAGGGAGGGACGATGAATTGGCCCAACGTCTGAAGAACTTTTCCCTCTCAGAAAAGGACATTGCAGTCATAGATCTTGCCCAAGAGGACATCTGTCTGAGTGCGGAGGAGCGTAATAGAGGTCTGTTTGGGAGAATAGTAGGAGATAGGAAAACGAGTTGGATTGGGGTAAAACGCACAATGTCACAAATATGGAGACTGCAACAGAATATGGAGGTGAAAGAACTAGGGCACAACTTCTTTCAATTCATATTCCAGAATAGGGAGGACATGAAGAGAGTAGTGGGTGGAACAAATTGGAGTTTCGAGAATCAATTCCTTGTTTTGCAGGAATGGCAAGAAGGTATGACAAACAATCATCTGGGGTTCAACCTGCTTCTGATATGGGTACAAGTTCTTAATGTCCTGTTGAATTGGCTTAGTGCGGAGGTTGGGCAAAGTTTTCGAAGGGGTTAAGAGTGTAGACTGTGTAGTGGTGGTTAGCTCAGGTAGTCACGATGGCAGAATAATTAGGATTCAGATTTTATTAGATTTAATTAAGCCTCTTCCTAGGTATGCTAACATTAGGCTGGGAGACCAAGTTGCTAATGTTTGCTTTTAGTATGAGAAACTGGTTAACCTCTATCGCTATTTTGGGGAAAGTGGACACTTGGATAGGAAAGGACAATTTAGGGACTGGCTAAAGGCAGTAGAAGGTCAGAATTGGGTGGAGGTTAGCAATACAAGTTCTAAAATCTCACCAAATTCTGGTAAATTCTCTCATTCAGAGGAAAGTCTCCTATGAAGGGTTCTACTAGTCATAGGGTAGTTAGCAATCAGATAATTCCAATCAGGGAACTTTCATCAAAGGAGATAAGAACAGACAGGGTTGATTCAAACTCAGTCAAAGTAAGCTCTTTAGCCCAACAGTTGGATCTCTATACTAGTTCAGAAAAGTAGAAAGCTCCTCACAGACAATTCATTGAGGAAATTGGTCATCCTACTCAAGAAGAAGAGATTAGAGATATGGAGTTGGAAGTGAGGGAAGAGAATGGTGATCCAGTTACTCTTGCTTTACAAAATATTGAACCTAAAGTAGTAATCAAGACTACAACTAAAAACATGGAAGAGAACAGGGACTAAAGAGGGTAGATTGCAAAGAAACAGTGATAGTCCTTCACCAGAGGAAGCTGCAAAAGGGCTCAAAAGAACAAGATTGGGCGGTGGGTATCAGAAGGCAGATAATGCAAATCAGGTGAAAAAATAGAGCTGTTGGGAAGAAGTTAAAAGTTGTTTTGGAGGAGGTGGAGGTGGCCAGCCTAGAATGACACCTAAGTGATCAATACTAGCTGCGGTGTGGAACTGTAAAGGGCTAGGTGGATCCTCTACAATTTTTCAAATCAAAGAGTCTTGTAGGACTCACCACCCAATTTTTCTGTTTTTATTTGAAACTAAGAAGCAAAGATCCTTTTTGAAGTATGTCTGTAAGAAGTTGGGGTATGATGATTGGTGTGCAATAGCGGATCTAAAAGGATTGAGTGGAGGTTTGGTTCTACTTTGGAACCAAGATGTTGAGGTGCTTCAGTTGGAATGCAAAGAGTTCTATATTGTTCAAATCAAAATCTGACAGGAGCACTTGGAGTAGATTGATGTTGTCTACCCATTCTGCTTTCGATTTAATTTTTTATTACACAAATATATGGTTTATACTTATTTAATTCAATTCAACATGAGTTGCGAATTCAGTTTGACAAAGGATGTCACTAGAACTAAAAATTTACCCATGATATTGCGTACGATTCGAATAATTGAACACAAATTTGAGACTGGATACAAAAATTACTTGGAAATCATATTTCACGATGAGGATTTCCAATAGATCCTCCTGGTTATTCCAAAAGGGAGTCGCTTTGGAATGTTGCAATTAATTTTTCTACATATGGGATGACTGCACCGTGTTGAGGCTTACAAAAATTATGCACCTTCAAAGCATTGGTGATTCGGAACGCGATGAGCTGGAAACTTTTGCTAATTGGATAACGAATGTTGGAGATGGAACCACGAAGGGATCCAACGATTGATGTGCATTGATAGACATACCTAATGATATATTGTTGAAGCCCAATGATGATCCTATCGCTGCAATTGTTGAGAGCACTTGTCCAATATTAAAGGATGCAACCGATGATCCCAGATATTTGAAGGATAAGACTATACTAGTATTGTATAACTTAGTTTGAAAGCATTCTTAGACAAAATTGCTTAGACCACTCTTTATATTCAATAATAGAAAATATTTGAAAATCCGCCAAACGCGTTTTCCTTTGAGATTTTAAGATTTTTTTTTTGAGATCTGAGACTAAGATTTTGAGATTTAGAAGGAACCCTTATAAATCTTGGTAAATCTCAGTTCCAAATAAGCTAAATACCTCCAGAATATCCTGCAAAACACGCCGAGTATTCTCGGTGGTGGACCTTTAACGATCTTCTCAAAATATGAAAGATAATATATGTGTGAAAGCTAGAGAGAGAAAAACCCCTTAGCCTTCCATACCTGAAACCTTGTTACAGGCCAAAGCCAGAACTACCAAATCTACTCTTACAGCGCCAATATCTTTCTGGTTTTCTAAAAAATAATAAACTAAGGCAATAACATTTACACATGTAATTTGTCCAAAATAAATCAACCACAGATTTATTCACATATTTCCAAAGAGCAAGACATCAGTGTGTTTCACAATAGCAGTGGCACAACGCGATTCCTAAGCCTTTATAACAATTTCACCTTGAGCACCTGCTAAAGCAAGCGGTTAAATTACTACTACTACTAATACTAATACTACTACTACTACTACTAATAATAATAATAATGATAATGATAATAATGACAATAATCAACAATGAAAAAGAAAATATTCGTGATTAAATTACTTTGATCAAAACAATAGGAGGCGAACTGGAGTAGGGATTCCATTTCTTCGGCTATGTTCGAAACCCTCTCGACCTCCTTAACGGCTTCAGCAGCCACAAACGATTTGTTTTCGGCTTCTGCAACTCTGTAAGCAGCACAAACTGAAGCTTCCTCAACAGTTTCTCCCGGATGGCTGAAGCTTTGAACGAGCGTGGGCCTCCAATCATTGGGTCTCCCAGAGAGATTCTTCGTGTCTGATGACAGAGCATCTGTTTTAATCTTGTAACAGTTTTGAACCTTCCATCCAAAATACACTAAAGATTAGAATTTGGAGATTTTCCGGTTTGCAACAGAACCACTGTAATGACATGCTGTGATTTGAAATTCAAGATGGAAAATAGGAATGCTTTTTTATATATTTAAAGGGAGCGGTTCAAATGGGAACCATTCTTAAAATGAGTATAGATATTAATCACAACCACCCGTATATTTAGAAGTATATTAGAGCTCACTTAGAAAGTCAATAATCTATTTTAAATATTTTCATGGGTCAATTAATCACCAACAATTTTAATGCATAATTAGAAATGCATGAATGCACAACAATGCCTATTGAATGGCTATAATTTGGCTCCGCGCTCCGATTTTAAGAAGTGGTTCCCATTCGAACCAAATGCTACATGATGCAATCTTAACAAATAGAAGCATACTTCACAGAGAACGGGAAAAAGAGAATAGTGGTCATTACAATTGTTTGCACACTCTTTAAAGAGGTAAATCTCGGCTTAAAAATAACAACTGAACTGTTCGACAGTGAATTCAGACATGGCAACACTGAGATTACGAACAGTTTTCACACCAAATCATTGGACAAATCAAACCTGGGGGAACAACTTCATTAATAACATGATAAGATACAAACTTCACCTTTTCAAGTTTGTCTTGTTGCACAAGTCGCCTTAATCTAGAGCTCAACAACCTTCTGAAATTTAAGGGCACATGCATCCTTTGCTGTAAGGAAGATGATGAAAAAGAAAGAAAAATCCTATCATTCAGAATCAAGCAATATGGTTTACTCACAGGCTTGGGCCATTTATCACTGACATCATATATGGAAACATGGTTATATTTCATAATCCAACTCCAGTTTAGAATTGAAAAAAGAATATAGACGATAATGATTTCGTGTAAAATATGAAATTATATTTGAACGAGTAATTGAAAATTACATTTTATATAGGCCCAGAATGAGAATGCTTGCATGTTGTTGGATATTTTTTCCCAAAGTTTTTCAGGGTATAATAATAATCAGTTGAGATTGGTGTGAATCCACTTTTCATATTTGATTGGTATAGATGTTCAAGTATTCATAAATTGTAAGATGATAGCAATGGGTTTCACTAGTAGAATCCGAATGAAATGACCAGAAATGTGACTGATGAGTAAAACATTAGGGTTATATTAGGATTGTGAATTGGACTTGTTGGGGGAACATGTGTATGAAAAATAATATATGGGAAATGAAATTCTNAAAAAAAAAACATCACTATTTATATATAGCATAAAAGTGGAAATGGGTGAAAACGAACCATACTGACAGGGAATAAAATTATAGTTGGCTAGGGCAAGAGAAAAATGCACTAATAGATCCAAATCTTAGAGTAGCAACACTAGCTCAAGGACACAGCCTTTTTCCCAGCCCACAAAGAAAGTCCACGAGTCCAATTTAAAACTATTTTGTATTTCTACCAATCGAAATTTATATATAGTATAGCAATGGAAAAAACGAACATGAAAGACAAACCTCAATATAGGTAGCAATTGTGCTACAATCTGATCCATTTGGCTCCCTAGGCGTAGGCAACGCCTCATATATCATCTCATTGTACCTGACACGAAAGCAATTATGCACTTTTTGAGTGAGAAGGAAATAAAGAAACACTAAAGAACATTAAGATAACAGATATCATAATATGATATTTCATAATATGGCCACTAACCCAATAGCTTTACCAACAACCAAAGCAAACTATCACAGTTATATCATAATCTTCTACAGTGAGTCTATAGCAGAACTTATATCCTGCTCAGTTTAACCTTCATCACCATCACTGTAGTCCCATGCTACAATTTCCACACCAAAGTCAACCACAGCGATGCAGTTCTAAATCAAGAACTTTTCAATATAAATAAATACACAGTGAGAACGAAAATCTTTTCCGAAGTTCATGCAGTTAAAACAAATGGCAAATTACATTTTCTACAAGCAGAAAGCAAATCCATAACCTCAAAAACTAACTAGAAATTGAGCAAAAAGGCATGCATATAAGTATCGAACTTAATCATTTTCTGTTAACAGTCAATGAAATTGCAACCATAACAATCTCCGTCTTATTATTAAGTTTCTCGAAAACAAAGCAATTACTCTAGAAACTGAAAATGATGACAACTAGTGCAATAGATGTGTAAAAAAAAACACTTAGTGGTATTCTAATTTATATATGAAACCAATTAAATACTTACTTGGCAGCATTATTTCCCTCAACTGCAGGCCTAGAAGAATCTGACATAACCACATCGACTGGAGCATCTTGTGAAGATGGAGTGAGGGTAGCAGAGGTCTGAACAACTGGCAGTGGAGTAGCAGGAACATCAGCATGATTTGCCTTTGGTTTCAGTCCCTTTAATTTATCTTTCTGAAGTAGACCACTTGCCACACTCAAGTTTCGCCATTTATCCTGAGAAAGCCAACCAAACTCAGTCGCATTCGTTTTTGTTTAAAGCTGCAACTTTACTTTTATTTGTTCTGACCAAATCATACTACTGATTCATAACAGTTAAGAGAGGAAGCTTATTATAATTTAGCATATCACACACACACACACACACACACATAAACAAGGCATGATGCGCTGAATCCAAATCTTATCTCTAAAGTGTTATCGCATCAAGTTGAAGGACATTTGCAATATCATAAAAAGCTTTTTCTCTTGTCCCACTAAAAGACCTGATATACGTATCTATGCATTTGGCACTAGGAAATGAAAATTGACTGAACTGATCGTTTTACGAAGTTAGTGTTCCATTAAATCTCTTAATGGTTGCAACTCTTGGAACATTTCTTCTAGCAAACACGAGTTGTGTTCCACATTTTCTTATTTTATTTGACCCTTAAATGAGACAAGCCAACAGGACATTTCTTCGTAGCAAACATCCTCTGAGGGGTACACCAGCTAGAAAAAATCACTTTCAACCCAGTGCAGCAACTCATGCAAAGGTACCTTTTCAGGGGTGTAATAAAGCATAATGTAACAAGATACCATACAATTAGCAATAACAAACCTATTATGCACGCCAAGCACCATTTACATTCGGGATAAAAACGAGACAACGCAAAAGGGGAAAAAGACTAAAAGAAGGAAATTTGGGCACATACTTTGAGATCAATGTTGGAGCGAGCAAACAGTAGGTGGTTGAATTCGGGATCTTTCTGTATGTTCTTCCACTTTCCGGCGCCGTGCTTGGCCACTCCGGCGCGGAGCGCCTCCTCCTCCTCCGACGTCCACTTCTGCTTCGGATTTCCCATACGAATCTAATCGATTACACTTTCCTCTTTCTGCAAAGAGGATTTTTTTTAATATTGATTCATAGGTTTTTTGCGGCGGCGTTGCTGGTGGCGGGACACTGGATAATCACGGCGACGCGGCGGAGGTGTTTGCATGGGAGGCCAACTGCGGAAATTTGAGATTGCGAGGGACTGTTTGGCCAAAACAGGCACAGCTTTTGAATTTGGAAACTTGGTAAGTTCTATATTTCACTTTTGAGCTTGACCATTTTTTTTCCCCAATAAAAATCTGACTGAATATGAAATACTTCCAATAAATGGATTTTTTTTTTATGCTCAACATCATAAATACAAACTAGTGTGTATCCCGGGGATTTTTACTTAAAACCTTTTCTAAGACTTTATATTAAACATAGTTATTTATATTTAACATCTTATTATTATAAAAAAAGAAATACCAAATATGAAAAATTATATATTATTTATTTGAATATAATGAGTGTCCCCAACCAAACTAATAACATCCAACATATGATATATGATAAAATTAATTATATGATCGTCATACTTTTTGAAAAAATATACATATATTTCTAATAAACATGTAAGATCCGCATTTAAATTTGTATTTGGATATGGGATGAAAAATGAATATGTACAAATAAAAAAGAACCAAGAACCTACATAAAATGAGATTCTTTATAAACTTTAAAATATTTTGTAGTTAAGCAAATATTAACAAACAAAATCATCAATTAAGTTGAACTTATCGAATATAAAATATAATTTATGATATCATTGACCCATATTTACCCGTTGTATTTAAAGTTATCATTGACCATATTTTTATGAATTAAGGTTTACAAAATATCTTTTTCAAAATAACAATTTTTTTTTAATTTGAATTTGACTTTTTCATCCAACCGCCATTTTCCACAAAAATAAAAATAGTATTTTGGAAAATTTTAGACGTGAAAATCAAATAAAATTAATTTAATAGTAATCGATTAATTTAATATTATTCAAAATTGTTTAATTTGGTCAACCCGATCTTAGTGCACATTTAATTGAAACAATCGCTTACAAAAAAAAAAGGTAATCGCTTACAAAAAAAGGAAGTGAAATCTATCTATATAATATAAATCGGATTTAAAAAAAAAAAGGAAATGAAATTTCATAATTAATTAATTTAAATTGATGTTATCCGATTTATATCAACTCCCTTCCAAAAAAAAAGGAAATATCCGATTCCTACCAAATCGATTAAAAAAAAAAAAGGATTATGATATACGTCCAAATAAATTACAATTGAAATGTAGGCGGGATTATGAAAAAAAAAAATAAAAAAACTTTACCGAATAAAGTAATAAAACGAAAAAAAAAGCGGGAATATGAAGCGGGAAAATAAGATAATTTTTTTTGAGTTTTTTGAACAATTTTTCTTAGTCGTAATAATAGTAATAGATTTCCAAAATGTTACCACACATTTTTTTCTATTTTTCTTGTTTTTATTAAATTTTATTTACATAAGATATACATTGGTTAATTTTAAATTGAATCTAAAAGTCAACTCCTCACACTTTTCGAAAAATGTTACCACACAATTTTTTTTTTCTTATTATGTTTTATTTACATAAGATATACATTAGTGGTTAATTTCAAATTAAATCTAAAATTCAACTCCTCACATTCTTGAATTTGAATTTTTAAATAAGGAAATGTGTTTCCATATTTTTTGGTAGTTAGAATATGTTGGATTCATTTATCTATAACTAATCATACACGTATTCAAAATTTGAACCCAAACAAAATTCTTTGAATTTTTTGCTAACAAAATCACCTTCCCATAATTTATTTATTTCGAAAAATGTTACCACAATCTTTTTAATTTTGTTTTTCTATTAAATTTTATTTACATAAAATATACATTTGTTAATATTAAATTGAATTTAAAATTCAACTCATCACAAATTTGTATATATATATATATATATATAGAGAGAGAGAGAGAGAGAGAGAGGATTCTCTTTTTTTTACATATTTAAAAAAAATCTAATCAAATTTTGAATCCCGAATTAAAATCGAAATGTAATGTGAACTGAAAAGATTTGAAATCTAATCATGTTGTAGATAAGGGAAATCCATGGCAAATAAAGAGGATGAAAAAAATTCAAATTAAATTTAAGGGGGAAAAACAGTTTTTTAAGCGGGAATTTAAAATATTTTTTCAAACATTTTTTCTTCTCCGTATTATATAGTAATAGATATATACATATATATATATATATATATATATATTACTTATTAATACATTTTTACAAATAAAAAAATAGTCGCCCATTTACTTCAATTTATTTTTTATATTTTTATTTTATATCCATTCCCAAACTTAGTGTGTGTTTGATAAGAACTATAAGCTACATTATAATTTATTTTGTTAGTTTATAAGTTTTTTATATTCAAATAAGTTTTGTTTGATAAGAAGAATTTTATTAAAAGAAAATAAGAGTTTGTTTGTTTATTGATTTTTTCAATCCATACTCAAAATTTAACTCAATTTCAACTCAAACTCATTATCATTAATATCAATATAATTAAATAATACAAACCATTCATTCATACACATCCCATCAACCTTATTTCACTCTTCATTCAATCACATAATCTTAATTAATCATTACTTCACAACATCTCTATCATACTTTTACATCAACTTAACTCTCATGCTCAAATTAACTTTAATTATTTTACTTTAAATATTATTTTAATATAAACTTAAAATTCAACTAACAACTAACCATACTACATTTTTTCAAAATTAACCCTAGTTAACTAAAAAAACTAATTTTGAGCGAACTAACAACTAACCATACCACTTTTTTCAAATACACTTGGCTTGATAAACCGAACTTTGTTAAAAATTTGAAGTTTATCTTGTAAGCTTCCTTATACAATTTGTAAAAAAGCCAATTGAAATTTTTATTTGAGCTGACTTATTATCTAATTTTATGAAACACTTTTATAAACTCTAAATTCACTTATAAGCTATCGGCCAACTTATCAGTTATTAGCTAATTTATCAAGTAGGTTTGACAAACATTGCCTTAAAATATTTCAAATTTTCTTTTATATATATGTTCACTTTTTTCCATAGTTTTTAGAACCGAACCGGGCATCGAATCGGTAAAGCTATAAGTTCAATGGTTCACTAGTCGGAATAATATTGAACCGTTATTTACATTTTTAATACTTTAAATATGTAGTTCTTCAACTAATAAATTATATTAGTAGTGAACTATTTAGATAATTTAAAGTATATAATTGTATAACTGGAAACATCTTATGTATGTGATATATTTATATAATATTAGAAGTGATATAAGTGAATAAAAATAAAAATAATAACAAATAAATGTATACAAATGCATAAGGATATAATTATATTTAGAAAAATCAAATAACTCATAGACCAATCTATATCTATATATATATAAAGAGGTTGTTGGAAAAATACATTAATAGAAAGTTTGACCAAATAAATATAATGTTTGACTTACTATTAATGGAAAGTTCAAAAAAACATATGTGAATCTTTAGTAACAAAATCTAAATCCTATTTTTTTTGGTAACAAATTTGGAGATTCTTATGACAAAATTTGAATCCCATATTTTTCGTATTATATTTTATTTTTTTACCAAAATTTAAATCATATCTTTTTTGGTAATAAATTTGGAGATTCTTATGTAAAAAATGTGTCAATTATTTATGAAAAACAATTCTAAATACAAATTAATTTAAAAACCGTACAAATTGGATACAAATTTGGGAAGCAAATTGTTGTATAATTCTTAACCAATTCTTCCAATCTTATTGAATAATTTTTTTTTTTTCAAAAAATTGTGTAAATTGTATAAAACCACATGTAATTTTTATTTTAAAATAAAACTGATATTTGGATGGGATGTACATTCAAAATTGTGTCCATATTTTTTGGTAACAAAAGCGGTTCATCATTGATACTTAAAGTCACCTTATCTAATTATTTAGGAAAAATTATGTGCAACTTTTCAAAATTTAAATGCATCGATCTTTTTGGATTCTTATGTTTTTTCTTAACCATATTTTACTGAGATTTTGGTAAGTTCCTATCATTTTTTTTTGGTTAAGTTCATATCATTTTCTTTAAGAAAGAGATAGTTGCATAAACATTAACAATTTATTTCAATTTTTTATTAGAATTATTTTCAATTCAATTTGTTTGGTACAAATATTGGTGCATTGTTAGGAAAATTTGGTTGCATTTTTAGGAAAAATTGATGATTTTTTTTATTTGGTTTTAAAAAATATTCGGATCAATTTGTTTGATAAAAAAATCGGTTTATTGGTAGGAAAATAGGTTTTATTTCCGGGACTAACTAATGATTCTTTTCAATTTTTCTTAATTGAAATTTAAATAAGATTTAAAATAAATAATGGGTGAAAATCTCTAAAAAAATTTACTTTTTTTTCTACTTTAATTTTGTTCAATAAATAAGATCATTTTTTATTTGTTAACTAATAACTAATAATATGCAATTTTGGATAAATTCGAACACCTATGTAGTACTTTACGTGCCAAAGAATCAAATCAATAATGTTGTACATAAGGAATGTTTAATAACATATAAATTTCATTTTCATGAAATTTTTAATGTCATGAGACAATTTAAATACAAAAATATCTTTTAGAAAAATATATAATAATAAATGCTCCCGTGCATATCACGGGCACCGTACTAGTTAATATAAAGTGAATACTTCTTTATTGGTGTAATCCAGCAGTTTGTACAGGATGGAATTTTCACATATACAAGGGATAAAATCAAATTTTATCCCAAGCGGAGTCCAAGACCCCTTGCCTCAATCCACCGAAATAAATGAAGGATTAGACCAGGATAACAAGGGGTATTCGGGCTAATCTTTCCAAGCAAACGAGCACAGAGGGAATGTGCGACAGTGCGGGATTCCGCGGATCTTCTTGTGCTGGATTAAAATTTCTGATTAGCCATGAAAAGCTGGAAACTCGAAAAAAAAAAAAGCTGCACTTGTCCCGTCGACTACAGTAGCCATGATAAGCTTCCCTGGTAAGCAACTCTTTGCCCTTGGAAACTCTATTTAAAACCATCTTCTTCACCCACCAATTCTATCAAGTTTCAGTTTCATTAATATTCTCTGTCTACTTCGAAATTCAGCAGAGGAAAGGTACCCATTTGATGTTTGTTTATATTCATTTTTCCCTTTCCCATTTTCATATCTTTTCATTCCTTTGAATTAATAGGGGTTTTGGTTGTTACTTACAATTTAGATTTCAAAATTGTTGTCATCACCATCTTCAGATTTTTCCCGTTTCTTGTTTTGTGCTTTTCCCTCTAGTGATGGTATATGTGTGTATGTATGGAGTTAGGGTTAGCTGTTGATCTTGGCCGTTGTCTTTTCCACGTATTCTAATTTTTATTACATGGGTTTTTTGCTAAAATCTCCATTTTGCTAAAGTTTGCACCTTTTTGGTCCTCAGATGGCAGACGAATCTGGAAACCCGCCCGCCAGCCCGCCCGAAAGCGCCAGGTGGCCTCCGGCAAACACCTCAGCATTCGTCACCGCCATAGTCCACAATGGGGTAACAGCTGGCATCGTGGGCCCCACAATGTGGGACAACATAACATCCCATATGCTCCACTCCTGCCCTGGCTACAACTACAGCACCAAACAGCTCAAGGGAAAATTCTATCGGCTCAAATCCGAGTGGAAAAAGTACCACACTCTCCTAAAATCGGACCCTCGGTTCGAATGGGACGACTTTCGTGGAATAGTGATAGGATCACCCGACTGTTGGGCCCGCCGTCTAGCTGTAAGCAAATCGAAATTGTCGGTAGCCTTTAAGGATTTATTTTTTTATTTTTTATTTCTTAAAGTAAGGATATTGATGGTGTGGAATGCAGGCTAATCCGAAGGATGCGGTTTTGAGGAGGAGACGATGCCCGCACTATAGGGACCTAACCGCAATATTTGATGAGGGGTTTGGAGAAAACGAACCATTGGTGCACTCATTCACGGAGGTAAGCCGAAGCTTATCACAAGAAGTCGAGTCCTCAGGGCCTTCTTATGTTCGTGAGGCAATAACTCGACTGGAATCGATGCAGGACTTACCAAACAAGGTCTTCTGTGTTGCAATGACAAAGTTTGAAGATCCGTTTTGGTGTCAGATTTTTTCGCTCATTACAACCGAAGAAAGGCGTCGGACGCTGCTCGATTATTGGGTGGAGGAAAGCGAGAAATGACCTTCTTTGCAGTCCCAAGCTCATGGGTGCGTTTGTCGAGAGCTTGTGACCGCGTGATTGCGTTTCCCGGTGGTCTTTTCGTGTGCTTTGAAATCATAGGATGTGTTTTTGTACAAAGGGATGTGTTTGCTAGTGTGTAGTGTGGCTGGCTTTTGTTCTATTGTTACTTGTTAGCCTATATATATGTATGCAAGAACAGGTTTCTGGTGGTTTGAGTTGCTGATTGTTTATGAATTCAACTAGTTTTTAATTGGATTTTTTTAACCATAGTTAATTTTTTTAAAAAAAGTGGTATGGTTAGTTGTTAGTGGATATATTAAATAATATTTATAATAAAATAATTAAAGTTATGATGTAAAAGTAGGATAAAAATAATTGGAAGTGATAGTTAGTTAAAATTATGTGAGTAGATGAATAGTGAATTAAATTTGATGTGATGTTAAGAATGATTGGTTGGTATAATTTAATTATATCTATATCTATATAAAGAGGTTGTTGGAAAAATACATTAATAGAAAGTTTGACTAAATAAATATAATGTTTGACTTACTATTAATGGAAAGTTCAAAAAAATACATGTGAATCTTTAATAACAAAATCTGAATCCTATTTTTTTGGTAACTAATTTGGAGATTCTTATGGCAAAATTTGAATCTCATTTTTTTCGTATCATATTTTATTTTTTTTATCAAAATTTAAATCATATATTTTTGGTAACAAATTAAATTTGAAGATTCTTACGCAAAAAATGTGTCAATTATTTATGAAAACAATTCTAAATACAAATTAACTTAAAAACCGTACAAATTGGATACAAATTTTGGAAACAAATAGTTGTATTATTCTTAACTAATTCTTTCAATTTTATTCAATAATTTTTTCTTTGAAAAGAAAGTGTGTAAATTGGATAAAACCACGTCTAATTTTTATTTTAGAATAAAACTTATATTTAGACGGGATGTACATTCAAAGTTGTGTTCACATTTTTTGGTAACAAAAGCGGTTCATCTTTGATATTTAAAAATTAAAAAAATCTTAAAATATCCTTAAATATTTAACTTATTTGAGATCAAGATTTGTTAGGTCTTTTTAAGATTAGTTATGATTTAAAAGAAAAAAAAAACATTATACAAAATTTCACTCTAAATCTCACATTCACACTTAAGATTTCATAGTATTCCTCTAGAATTTGACCATCTTAAAAGTCCCAAATCTTAAAAATCTCAAATTGGCACTCAAAATCCTAAACGAATACATATTATTTACCTATATCGTCAATTTATAATTATTATTTAATATTATTTACCCGTGCATCGCACGGGCACATACTAGTTGGTAATAATGGAGATAGTGGGGTTGAGTTAAATTTGAGTTTTGATTGATTTTTTTTAATTGAATTGATAAACAATCACACCCTGTTCTGGGTTTATTTGGGGGTATTTTCACAATTAATTTATTTAAGTTGCGTCTGGTGTATTTGTTATACTTTTTACATAAAAATATATTAATACTATAAAATGACATAATATATAGGTTTAGGAAAAAAAATATTAGTAAAATTAGTATGACAATAAAATACATGCAAACCACTGATTTTTATATATAATTAGTAGGTAAGGCTACAGTTTTTGTTACGAAAGCATTCTGTTGGGATTTGTAACCGTTAGATGCACATTTATATTAGTGTAGAATGTGCATCTAGCGGTTACCAATCTCAACGGAATGATTCCGTACGGGATTGTAGCATTTTTCATAATTAGTAGTAGTACCCGAGTATTAATAAACATTAATAGATTTATTCTTAAAAAACTAATACAAGGGTGATAGTTTTTTTACTTTAAAATTTTCAACTACTTTTTAAATGGTGGTTGATAGATAAATTTATTTCATTCAAAAACAATAATTTGTTATTTAAATTAGGATTGATAGATAATTTGTTTTTTAATTTATAAAATTATAAATAATTATTTTTTATTTATATGTAACTGTGAATGTGAAATCAAAATCATCAAAAAATAAAATGTAATATCTCGAATATATAAAATAATTAATAAATAAAAAATTAGTCAATTATATATAATTATTTTCTATTGTACATATAACTATAGATGTCAAATCAAAATCTTGAAAAAAATAATTAATCAGTTATATCGTAAAATTAATAATAAATAAAAAAAAATTAAACAATTATTCATAATTATGTATTCACATCTATATATATATATAATAAGAATTACTATTTATAAAAAATAGTAGTAAAAAAATAGGTCAGAATTTAATGCAGTCTATAAATAGTAAGTCTTATTATTTTTCTTATTTTTTTCTTTAAAAATCGTAAAACATTAAATGTTACCTTAAATTTCGGGCTTTAGTTCATTTTATTATTTAAAAAATCCGGTTAAGATTTATTAAGTGTGTATGTTTTTATTTTTATTTTTTTTTAGAAACAACGAACAACATTAAAATCTCGGTCTCTATATTTATAAAATCTCAATTCAAAATATAACAAAAGATTTAGAATCTCGGTCTTTATATTTGTGCCTTTAAAAAAAATATTGAACGCTAAAAATATTATTTAAATTGCATAATCAATCAATTAATCTTAATTTTTTGAAAATTACTATGTTTATTTTTTATTTATATGCATAAAGTAAAAATAATTAATTCATCTTTAGCTATATAATTTATAATTTTAATATACTATCATTTGGTGTAGGCATTTATTATATGAATCATAAAATATTTTTATTTCATAAAATTAAATATATTAGAAAAATAAAAAAGTTTCTTCGGATCAATCGAGTGATTGAATTAGTGTATTGCTCAGGTTGATTGAATTAATTTTAGGTAATATTTAAAATAGTTTAAAAACTTGACACAACTTGGTTGGTCCTAGATGACTAAGTTATGTATCAGTTCGACCACATCAAATCGATTATTGAACCTAAATATAAATTTTATATTGAAAATATTTTATTACGTGAATGTGATGTAGTCCAAACTTCAAATAATCGTATTAACAATACTTTTATGACAACATGTTTAATGATTTATGAATATTTATATATCATTTTATTAATAATGCAAATTAAATAATATTTTATTGTAATATTTATTAATGTATGGTAAATATAAGGTTTTCAGAACTAGACCATCATCGAAACGATAAAACTATTTTATTAAATCATTTGTGGTTTGTTCATATTTTAATTTATAAACATTTTATTAGATATTCATATATATATATATGTGTGTGTGTGTGTGTGTAGTACTTTTTGTAATAAATTTAAATAAAATGTGTTACTTAGATATCTCAACAATTTATAAATTCAAAATTTTAAACTAATTGATAAATAATTTATAAATCTTTATTTTATTTAAAATAATTTTAAATATAACAAAATTTATTTAGAAAATTGTATCGATCCTACCAGTCCAACCTACTGGTGTTGACATATTTGAGAGCAAATATTATTCAAGCAAACTAGACTGGTTATAAACCGGTCCTCGGTCCATCCGGTCGTACTGTGTCCAATCCGGTTTAATTTAAAAATAATGGATAAATCATGATTAATGTTATTTATATATTTAATTTATAATACAATCGTAATATTGTTTTCTCGTGCATCGCACGGGCCACGCACTAGTATATCTTAAAGCAAATATGCTTTAAATTGGTGTCAATACATAAAGTTATGGATAGTTTCATAAGAGAATCATATGCACGTTCCATAAAATTTCTAAGTTTTCTAATTATGAAAGCTAAATAATATCTATATTTATAATTATTGGTCCAAGTTATCAGGATTTGATCGATACTAGAACATGACGAACTCGGCTGTTAGTTAACAAGAAAAAACATTATTTATGTAGATAGATAAATGAGTAAAATCATCTCCAATCGAAAAGCTTATTCTTAAACTCATTTGTAGTTACATTAATTGTCACATCGAATAGTAATTATTCTCCAACTGACGAACTCATTCTCAAAACCCGAAAAAATATTTTCGAAATATTCTTTCTTATCAATTTTTATAACTTCCAATACTAACCTCATATGTAACAAAATCTATAAATTAGACCATGCTAATAGAGTCGATTGACAACAAGTAATAAAATTAATTATACATTGTTATGAATTCGGCCGGAATTGAAGAAATGGGAAAGAAGGGAAAGGCCGCTGGCGAGGTAAAGTCGAAAATGGGGAAAATGAAGTCGATCGGTGTGTTTGAAGAGAAGGATGAGGCACTGCCACGTATCACAATCAGACCCATTGATTGAAGAAGACTCACTTAGAGTGGATGCTTGGCAAGTGTCTTATATCTTATACATTTATGACATGATTGGTATAATGAAATAAAATTTGATAGGAAGGAAATGTGTTGAAGAATGGAATGAATATGAGAAATGAATGAAACCAGTTTTTCCATTGATGTGTTTGGTATGCAGAAGGAATAAGACATGATGGAGTGACAATATCTTTCTATATTATCATTTATCATTAATTTCAATAACAACAACATAGCCTTTAGTCCCAAGCAAGTCGGGGTAGGCTAGAGATGAAACCCAAGAGAAACAATGGTAACAGAAACACAAAAAAGGCTCGAAACAAAAGGAGGAGGTTGGAACAAAAAGAGAAAAAAACAAAAGTCACGGTTCTGGCACGTTGCTTGCTAGCCTCCAAGCGCTCTATCCACCGCTAAATCCTTGGAGATATTCCAAATTTTAAGGTCTCTCTTAACCGACTCTTCTCAAGTGAGTTTAGGCCGACCTCTACCTCTCTTTACATCCTCGACCCGCTGTAGAACTCCCCTACATATATGGGAATGAGAAAAACTTTGCATTTGCTATAGAATGACTAATCACATGGAGATGAGTTTTGCAATTCCCATTAGAATAGTCATTCATTCCCAAAAAATATACCAACTATGAAATAAGGAATGAATAAAGGAATGAACATTCCATTTTCATATCATTCCCTTATACCAATTATGCGTGTTTAATATTTTTAATTTTTGTTTGGAGTATTGAGGCAAAACTTGACATGTGTTAGTCTATTTCATGTAAACTCGTTTGGTGGTGATTAATAGCACATGGTGAAGAATGTAAGACATGATGATTATTATGCAAATATTCCTCTTATCTCTTTCTCTCTCTCTAAACTCTCTCATTCCATCATCTTCTTTACCTTCATCTTCTTTAATTCTTCACAAATA